TCCCTCCACCCATCATCCATCCATCGAAGAATCACAAAAGATCCAACATTGCGGTAACAATCGTTCTGATACGGTGACAGCTATTACCACTACGAGCAGTGCGGTACAAGCTATTTCGGTCCGGTATTTTCAACTGCGTTGCCACTGAACAGAGGGGTGTCTCCTTTCTTTCAATACAGTATCAGCTTTCCCTTGGCTCCTCAGAAACATTGATTCTAGACAACCGGAGTGTGTTATGGTGATCCCGTGTCGAGAAGCTCACTCTCGTTTCTTACTGAACTAGCGAAGTTCAACGTATCGCTCGTAGACTGTCACTTCGGAAACATTCTCCTGCCCTGACTTTGAGGCAAGAGAGGGTTGGACTAGTGTTTATCGGTGAAGCCCGTTGTTCCGGGTGTGTCCCGTAGCAACGCATTTTGCGGAGTACAGCACCATCGTTATCCTCTTCGCATCCATCGGGCTCAAGTATTCGGTACGTCTTCAGTAGTGTACAGAACTGTTAGCCTGCCGTTGCAGTCCAACCAACGAGCCAGTTACAGCCAGAGGTAGACTCGGGCAGGGCTTACGTGCGTGCATCTTATTCAGGCGCCCCCATAGTGTACTCTTGCTGCAAATTACGTCTCCGTTCGTTTAAGGCGGTGGTATTGAACGGGTGTTTTCCTCAGCATCATCACATACACGCCTCCATAATTTAGTACCCAAGTCTTCCTCTCCTCGCAGCTCCTCCATCGTTCACCTGACTGACAGTCGTCCGCACTTCTGCTCATCCTAAACTCGACGGCCTCAGCTTCCATCTCTACCGCATCGAAATTCTCGAATCTCCTGCATAGAAATTCGTCGCCATGGCCGTCGCCTCGAAATCGTCGCCGTCGCAAGAGTCGTCGCCGGCGTGGAAGAAGACCAAGGAGATGCTTGGAACCTTCGCCACCAGCGGCACAGCCGTCGCGATTTCCACAGCCACCACACATCCCGTCGGTACGTGCTGCTTGCATGCTGCTTGCGTAGGCTTTTCAACTTGTCGATGAGTTACACAAGAATGTGCAAAAACAATCAATCAAACATAACAAACAAACTAGAGGTTATTTTTTTACACAAACAATTAATCTTTTACCGCTTCACCTTGATTCACAACTCCGCTCACTGTTCATCCCCATGACCATCCACTCCCCTCCTTCCCCTCCCCCTCATCAGACGTGGTTAAGGTGCAGCAGCAGATGCAAGCAGTGGGCCAACGCGGCCCCTCCTCCACCATGGTAGCCACCACGCGGAAGCTCCTTCAAGAAGGCGGCGTGCGCGCCTTATACCGCGGCGTCGAGCCCGCCGTCGTGCGCGCCTTATCCTACGGCTGCCTGCGCCTCGGACTGTATGAGCCGTGTCGCAACATGATCGCTCCGAAAGACAAGTCGCAGGTGCATATGGGACATAAAGCCCTCGCGGGTATCATGTCTGGATCGTTCGCTACAGCCGTGTCGAACCCTCTCGATGTCGCGAAAGTCCGGCTACAGATGATATCCGAGACGGCCGCCGGGAGCAGCGCCGCGAGTGCCGCCGTGAAAAGCGCGGGTGCGCGGAGCAGCCGGTCGACGTCGGGGCAGATTCTGGAAATCGCGCGGACGGAGGGAGTCGGCGCGCTGTGGAAGGGCGTAGGGCCGTCCATGGGGCGCGCGGCGGCGCTCACGGCGGCGCAATGCGCGGTGTACGACGAATGCAAGCAGATGCTCAAAGCGCGCGCTAACGTCTCGGACGGTCTGCCTCTTCACCTTAGCGCATCTATGCTTGCGGGCGCCGTTTCGACACTCGCGTCGTCACCCTTCGACACAGTCAAGACGCGCATGATGGCAATCAAGAAATCCTCCGCCGCCGCGTCCGCCGCTTCTTCCGCCTCTTCCGCCGCCCCCAGAGCCCCCCTCCCCCCGTCAGCCGCTTCCCCGTCGATTCCCCCGCAGTCAAATGCTACGATAAGCGGAGCCTCGTCCGCGTTTTCCCCCGTTAACCTCCAAAACCCCGCTCCGCACAATTCTTCCGCCCAACTCCAACCCGCGCTCGCGTACTCTACTTCTTCAGCCTCCCCCGCTCCTTCCGCGCGCCCACCGCCGCTGCCTGCTGCGCGCGGACTGCCCCCGCTGGGCCCTGTGCCCGCTGCTGCGCCCGTGGCGGGCGCAGCTCCGCCAGCGACCGGGGGAGCTGTCGTTTACCGCGGATCTATGCACTGCGCTTACTCGGTGAGTGGTTACTCACACGCCCTTACCCAGTGGGTGAATAATACGTCAGTCAGGTGTTTTGCGTAACAGCACTTACCAAAAATAACTTCGTTGTAACCCATCCCTCGCCTCGACCACTCATGCCTTACCCTCTTCCCCCCTGTTTCCCGTCATTCCCCGTTACCTGCAGATTCTCCGCACGGAGGGTATCCGCGGGCTTTACAAAGGTTGCGCCGCGAATTACGCGCGCCTGGGCCCCATGACCGCCATCACCTTCATCGTCTACGAACAACTGCGATCCCTTGCTGGGCTGTCCAGCTTGTAACCCTACTCGTTGACTGCGCGACTGGTCGTCGTCTGCGAGCAACTTCGCCCGCCCCTAGTCCTGCGATGGCAAGCTTATAGCGCGGATTGTACACGCGTGCGCTTCAGATTTTTCCTGCAAGGCCGCGAGAATAGCCTATGGCGAAATTATATCCACCAAATAAGGTCCTCAGCGTTCGTTGTACCGTGCATGCTAAACGGTATGCACAAATATTATGATTTCGCTATTAACCTGTCAATGTCTAGTCTGGCTGGCAAAGAGAATTTGGCTTGTGATAATTTGGTAGAAAGGCAGAAAGAATCCATGTAAAGCAGTAGATGGCTAATGCTACCACACCACAGCCGGGAAAGAAGGGAAAATATGCCACAGGTAACCAACTTGGGACTTGATAACGTGAATGGTTAAAAAAAAACGCGTACGGTCACTGTATTAAGTTTCCTGACAAGTTCGGTAAGCGGGGTCACGGATTCAGTCACTAACAACAGGTAGGTAAGAAATCACGCGAATGATCAAACATGAAACTCCCGCCAAAAAAACTTGAAACTCAACAAAATTCCCGCTCGCGCCCAACCAATCTGCGAACTTGTAAAAAAACTAAATCACAATCGGAATCGGATGCGGTTTGAAAACGGATCAACCCTAAACACCTGGCGAGAGTTTTTGGGTTTCATTTTGTTTTGGCGGGAGTTTCATCTGTGACTATTCGCGTTTTTTTTTACCAGTTGATTGTGACTGATTCCGTGAAACGCTTTATCAGTCGCGTGAAAACACCCTTTGCAGTGACCGTACCCTTCATTTTTTTACCAAAAATGTTTTCGAGTCCCATGATGGTTACGAATGGCATATTTTCCCGGGAAAGAAGAACCTTTTGTTGAGTTGGTACAGCTTTATCAATTACACTCTTGAAAGTGTATCAGCTTACGGCATGTAACAAAACAATTCATCAGGAACACTTATACCATATATCCATTTCATGCTGGATCATACCAGCGTGTATCGATAGCCTAGGTACTGTATGTAGGGTAGCCATCACCGTAGATGGAACCCCAGACAAAAATACACTAGATTAGGCTAGAGCAGTGTTTGTTCAGAGAAAAGCAAATGATTGGAGAGCAGCTAGCAGCTGTGAGTTCATTATAGGCCACCGAGCCTCGGTGCACGACGCTGTGATGACATAGAGGTAGCCTGGAGTGGGGAATGGAGGGGAATAAAGTGGGGGGTGGGGTGGGAGATGGGGGAGGGGAGGGAGGAATGCACTGCAGCTGTGAGTTCATTATCGGCCACCGTGCCTCGGTGCACGATGCTGTGATGACATATAGGTAGGCTGCAAAGAGAGGAGTAAGGGAGAAGTGTGGGGTGGGGTGAACGAAGAGTTGAATTTCTTGCAGCTGTGCGTTCATTATTGGCCACCGTGCCTCGGTGCACTTTTGAGACGTCTCAAAAGTCATTCTTGGCCACCGTGCCTCAGTGCACGATGCTGTGATGACAAAGAGGTGGCCTGGATAAGGAAGGAAGGAGGGAGAAGTTCAGGGTGGAGCGGAAGGGGGGAGGAGAAAGGGAGAGGGGGAGGGGGGAGAAAAAGCTGAGTGCATTGCAGCTGAGTGCGTTGCAGCTGTGCGTTCATTATTGGCCACCGTGCCTCGGTGCATGATGCAGTGATGACGTAGAGGTAGCCTGTAGGGGTGAGATGGGGGAAGAAGTGGGGAGTGGTGTGGGGGCAGGGGGAGTGGGTGAAGAGTAGAATGCATCGCAGCTAATGACATTGAGGCAATGTGGAGTGGGGGGATGGAGGGCGAGGAGGGATTGAAGAGGGCGGGAAGAGTGTAAGCGTTTCCAGGATCCAAGCACACTCACACCCACACACACACAAATTATTTGCCACCGTTCCTCGGTGCACGATGCTGTGATGAATAGGGTAAAACCTCAAGGGGAGGGGAGATGAAGATGTGGGGGTGGGGAGGGTGTAAGTGCGCTTGGGACAGGAGTGGAAGAAGTTGACAGGATGTGGTTGTCTGTGCTGACTTACCATGCTACCATCATGCGTGCACCATGATGTGATGGCATAGAGGAAATTGTGGAGGATTGCGTGGGAGGGAGGGGGGTCATGTGAAAACTAGTTTTGAGGCGCCTCAAAATTGGTCATGTGAAAATTAGTTTTGAGGCGCCTCAAAACTGGTCATGTGAAAACTTGTTTTGAGGCGCCTCAAAACTGGTGATGTGAAAACTAGTTTTGAGGCGCCTCAAAACTGGTCATGTGAAAACTTGTGATGACATAGAGGTAGCCTGGAGTGGGGAATGGAGGGGAAAAAAGTGGGGGGTGGGGTGGGAGATGGGGGAGGGGAGGGAGGAATGGACTGCATGTGTGAATTCATTATCAGCCACCGTGCCTCGGTGCACGACGCTGTGATGACATAGACGTAGCCTGGAAAGAGAGTAAGGAAGAAGTGTGGGGTGGGGGGAAAGAAGAGTTAAAATCATTGCAGCTGTGCGTTCACTCTTGTCCGCCCTGCCTTGATGCTCGGCGCAGTGATGACAAAGAGGTAGCCCGGAGGGGAGATGTGGGGAAGAAGTGGGGGAGTGGGTGGGGGGAGGGGGTTGCGGGTGGTGCATTGCAGCAGGGTGCTCATTTCGGGCCGCCGTGCCTCGGTGCACGCCACAGTGATGACGTAGAGGTAGCCTGGAGGAGAGATGTGGGTAAGATTGGGCAAATGGGCTACCAGCACAGGTGTGAGACAGGAGACAGCAAATGGACTTACGAGGGAAATGATTGATCAGCATACCTTCTGACAGGAGTATCCGGCCTATGTGGCGGCGCACGATTGGCTGAACAAGATCGGCCCCTCGCACTGACACACACTCACCCACGCCCCCCTTCCCCTCCTCTATCCGCCCTCTGCACGTCTCCGTTATCACACTGCAGTGGTGGGTGGAAGGGGGGGGAAGAACAGGCGGGGAGAGGAAGGTCAGATGTTGTTTTGATCAGACACGAACTCCCCCTTCCCCTCCTCTATCCTCCCTCTGCACGTCTCAGTTATCACACTGCTCGGTTGGGTGAAGAGGAGAGGAAGGAAGAAGGTGGCAATTTGATTCAACGGTTGCAGATCCGTATTCATCAAGATTGTGTCTCCGTTACCACACTGCAGGGGGGTGAGCTTTTGAGGCGCCTCAAAAAGGAAGAAGGTGGCAAATTGATTGTGTTTCATTAAGAGTGTGTCTCTGTTACCACACTGCAGTGGGATGGGTGAAGGGGGGAGGATGAAGGTATATTAGAAGCATCATATTTCCTTTAACAAATATGCACTCCCCTCATTCCCTCCTCTATCCTCCCTCTGCACGCCTCCGTTATTACACTGCAGTGATGGGTGAAAATGAGAGGACAAAAGAACATTAAAAGCAGCAAGTTCAACTCCTTACAACAAACAGGCACTCCCCTCTTTTCCTCCTCTATCCTACCTCGGCACGTCTCCGTTATCACACTGCACAGAGGGGCGGAAGGGAGCAGACAGAAGCACATTAAAGGTTGAACGAGGTCTGTCCCTTGCCCTGATACACACCTCACGCACACCCCCCTTCCCCTCCCCCTCGCACTGATACACACCTCACCCACGCCCCCCTTCCCCTCCTCTACCCTCCCCCTGCACGTCTCCAGAGGGGTGAAAGGGAGCGGACAAAGGTTGAGCAAGCCAGACGTGGAGCTGAGGAAGAAAATCGGCTGACGAGGAGGAGGAGAGTCTACTGACAATGACAAGGGGAGAATGAAAAGCTACTTAGCCAAATGACGATACCACTTAGCTATTCAGCTCTCTATTATTAAAAATCGGGACCCGGGATCCGTACTTACTCGAAACTGAGTCCGGCAGGTGATGCCAGGGCGGAGAGGATCTTTTGGAGATCCAGAGGAAGCTCTATGATTGGCTGGTTGGGGAACACCGTGTCCTCCACCAATGAGGTGCTCAGATTCTGGATGGAAGACAGAGAGAGGGAGTGTAGGGAGAGAGACCAAAGCAAAGGAAGAGAGACAAGAATGGGGGCGTAGAGTGGGGAACACCGTGTTCTCCTCCACCAATGAGGTGCTAAGATTCTGGATGGTGGTGGGAGGAAGAGAGAGAGAAAGCGGAGAAATACAGAAAATAAAGGAAGAAAATAAAAACGAATGGGAGCGACGAGCGGGGGTTTAAGTAAGCGCACAAAATGGGACTGTGATGCTGGAAAAGGGGTATTTTCAGTGCACCAGAGAAGAAGGAAAAGGGAGTAGAGGAGAGGCATCTAGGAAGTATCAAGACTCACCCCGTTGGGCAGGATACGTTGGACTAGGGGAATGATATTGTATGGAGGTGAGAATCTCTAGAGGAAGTCATTTAAAGAAAAAACCTCACATCAAGTATGAAGGCTCACCCTGTTGGGCAGTATGCGTTGGATGAGAGGAGCAAGCTTGTCAAGGGGTGGAGGTTTCTGAGGAAATTTCATATATACATAAATAATCTCAGCAAGTATGAAGGCTCACCCCGTTGAGCAAGATACGTTGGATAAGAGGAGCGAGCTTGTTGGGGTTTGGAGAGGCGAGACGAGGCGAGGAGTGAGTGGGAGAATGCGAGCCTTAGAGGAGCGAGTGTTGAGACTCACCCCGTTGAGCAAGATACGTTGGGATGAGAGGAGCGAGCTTGTTGGGGTTTGAAAAGGTGAGGAGACGAAGCGTGAGTGAGGAGGATGGGCGGCGATGAGTGAGGAGGATGGGCGGCGATGAGTGAGGAGGATGGGCGGCGATGAGTGAGACTCACCCCATTGGGCAGGATGCGTTGGATGAGAGGAGCGAGCTTGTCGGGGTTTGGAGTGAAGGCATAGCGAATGACACTCATCTGATGTGCGGGGAGGGAGGGAGGGGGGAGGGGAGGGGAGGGAGAAAGGGAACAAACAGAGGGAATAGCGGAGGTGAGGTGAGTAAAGTCACGAGCTTTCATTGAGTCAGGCCAAAGTACACACAACAAAAAGGGAACCCATCCACCAGGTCGAAGGTGACAAAGTTGCAAACGACTGCTAGGGCCTGAGAGCCATCTACTGTGCTGCTGTGAGGCTGATGTTAAAGCAGCAGGCGTGTGCGGAGGAAGGGGAAGGGGAAGGGGAAGAGGAAGACCCACCGTGTCGAAGGTGACAAAGTTGCAGACGACTGCTAGGGCCTGAGCGCCATCTGCTATTTATCATGCGAAGTAGCACCATCTAGCCGAACAGTCACACAAGAGGGGGGCGGGGGACCCAGGGGGGGGGGGGGATGACACCTACCGTGTCAAAAGTGACAAAGTTGCCCACGACTGCTAGGGCCTGAGCGCCGTCTGCTGTGAGTGGGGCGTCTGCTGGGTCGTTCTTGCGGTTCTGGTGGTTAAGTATAGCACATAGGCAGGTAGGGAAGGGGGAGGGGCGAAGGGAGGAGGAGTGGGGTTGGAGGAAATACAGGGGACCAATGCTAGGGCCTGAGCGCCGTCTGCTGTGAGTGGGGTATCTGCTGGGTCGTTCTTGCAGTTCTGAAGGGACGGATGATGCACAGCAGAGGGGGGGAGCGGGGGGAGGAGGGGGGAGCGGGGGGAGGAGGGGGGAGCGCGTGGGGGTTAGAAGCAGGGGGGCTGAGCGCCGTCTGCTGTGAGTGGGGTGTCTGCTGGGTCGTTCTTGCGGTTCTGGTTGAGGTGGCAGCAGGGCATATGGGGGGAGGGTGGGAGGGCGGAAGAAGAATGGAGGAGGAAGAAAGGTATGCGGCCTAATCTCCTGCCACGTGCAATAGAGGTGACCTTGAGTCGATGGGGTCGTATCGTATGATGCCGTTTAAGTTTTCACGCTTTCATGTAAACAGGTGACTTTTGAGTCGACTCAAAAGTCACCTCCTTATGGGGTCTCATGATGTTTACATGATAACGTTTAGGTGTTCACACTCTCATGTAAACATAAGTTCCTGTGCTTAGAATTGTGACACTACGGTAGCGACGTTACACTACTGAAGTGCAATGGTGACAGTAACAAGAGATTTGGTACTGCTCTGCATTCAGGTACAGAAAGGAGACACTAGATAGTGCTGTGCATTCAGGCACGTACAATCGTGACTATATAGAAGGACGGGTGGAGAAAGGAGACACTAGATAGTGCTGTGCATTCAGGCACGTACAATCGTGACTATATAGAAGGACGGGTGGAGAAAGGAGACACTAGATAGTGCTGTGCATTCAGGCACTTACAATCGTGACTATATAGAAGGACGGGTGGAGAAAGGAGAAACTAGATAGTGCTGTGCATTCAGGCACTTACAATTGTGACTATATAGGAGGACGGGTAGAGGAAGGAGAACCCGAACGCGCTCTCAATAAGCTTCCAGGAAGCAGTGTCCACTCCAGCACCAGCAGTTGTTGGTGCCGGCGAGGCTGCTGTGGCTGGGAGGGACAATGGGGTATGAGGAATCCAGGGAGGGAGAAAAACGAAAACAAGAGCCTAACAAACGAGAAATTATATCCTTCTTTCCCCACCTTTTTTCCCTCTCCCTCCATTCCCCAAAACCCCACACAGTTGTGACTAGTACCAAAAACGCTCTTGTGTGTGAGTGTGTGACAATACCGAGGGCTGCAGCCGCTATTGTGCTGTGCTGGTTCCTATCTGTGATCTTGCTACACTACCACTACCAGCTTCAATGTGACAATACCTGCGTTGCCGATTGGAACAGTAAAAGCGCCTGGTGTGACAATAGCGAGGGCTACGGCCGCTAGGCCGCTGCCTGTACCAGCCATCACCCCCCGCCGCGTCCAATAGTTTCCTGCCACCTGGCAATCATTTGCATCCTGGCCATCCACACTGTAACGATCCTCGATACAAGCCTCCTCGTTGGAACATTCCTCGCGACGGGCCTTTGCCGAAATTACCAAACGCGACGTACGGAACTGCCGCGTTGACGACCGAGACACGTGGCACGAGGGGATTGGTGAGGAGGAGAGGTGGAAAGTCCCGCGATTCCTGGTAACGCGCGAGGAGACGGTAGGCCCTGATAAGGAGACTGAACCATTGGTAAGAGCCGTCACTGATAGCCGAACCGCCATCGATGCTAGCTTCCTGATACGGAAGCTGACACGGTTCAGTCGGGGGACTCGGAGACCAGGAGTGCGGTGTCAGACCTTATGGCCAATAATTTTTTTGGCGATTTTTTTTGGCGCGAAAAAGGTGGACCCCAGGGAACGAGATGATCCCAAGGGTCGCGGGGACGGTTTGGATCAAAAGGCAAGATCGGGAGGATTTGAAGCAGATTTGGATTGCATTACAATCAATGAGCCGATAATGGCTGGTGCGTTAGCGACAAAATGACATAGACACTTGAAATACACGTACGAATAGTGGCTAAAGAATGGGCTACCTAGCCTATTCTATACCTGCAAGTCTCTCTTTCAGAAATGTGTTCATGAAATCAATGTGAATGCCCACCAAAGCCCGAGCCCAACAGCCACCTCTAACCCCACCCTTTTCGCCACACGCACGGCCATTCCCCCTTTTCCCAACTCCTTTTCATCCGATGCACTGGCTCCGATTAACTGCTTAAATCGCAGTGTTCTTTGCTCGTTATCTTGCAACAAATAGTGTACCACGCCAGGCAAGTGCCCTCGCCCCACCACGCCAACCACTCTGTCACAGCCTCTCACAGCCTTGCTCCGTTTTAAGGCCCATGCTAGATACTGTAGAGGGGACAAGTAACCGAGGGGAGGATGAGGGTTGGGAGAAAGAGGGGGAGGATGATGGCAAGTTCCAAAACTGAAACATGCGAGCGCAGGAATGGGTGGCAGCAAGGCTGAGAAAAAACTTGAGTTTTGTGAGACAGGCAGTAATGTGAGACAGGCAGTAATGTGAGATAGGCAGTAATGTGAGAGAGGCAGTAATGTGAGAGAGGCAGTAATGTGAGAGAGGCAGTAATGTGAGACAGGCAGTAATGTGAGACAGGCAGTAATGTGAGACAGGCAGTAATGTGAGACAGGCAGTAATGTGAGACAGGCAGTAATGTGAGAAAGGCAGTAATGTGAGACAGGCAGTAATGTGAGACAGGCAGTAATGTGAGACAGGCAGTAATGTGAGACAGGCAGTAATGTGAGAGAGGCAGTAATGTGAGAGAGGCAGTAATGTGAGAGAGGCAGTAATGTGAGACAGGCAGTAATGTGAGACAGGCAGTAATGTGAGAGAGGCAGTAATGTGAGACAGGCAGTAATGTGAGAGAGGCAGTAATGTGAGAGAGGCAGTAATGTGAGAGAGGCAGTAATGTGAGAGAGGCAGTAATGTGAGAGAGGCAGTAATGTGAGAGAGGCAGTAATGTGAGAGAGGCAGTAATGTGAGAGAGGCAGTAATGTGAGAGAGGCAGTAATGTGAGAGAGGCAGTAATGTGAGAGAGGCAGTAATGTGAGAGAGGCAGTAATGTGAGAGAGGCAGTAATGTGAGAGAGGCAGTAATGTGAGAGAGGCAGTAATGTGAGAGAGGCAGTAATGTGAGAGAGGCAGTAATGTGAGAGAGGCAGTAATGTGAGAGAGGCAGTAATGTGAGAGAGGCAGTAATGTGAGAGAGGCAGTAATGTGAGAGAGGCAGTAATGTGAGAGAGGCAGTAATGTGAGAGAGGCAGTAATGTGAGAGAGGCAGTAATGTGAGAGAGGCAGTAATGTGAGAGAGGCAGTAATGTGAGAGAGGCAGTAATGTGAGAGAGGCAGTAATGTGAGAGAGGCAGTAATGTGAGAGAGGCAGTAATGTGAGAGAGGCAGTAATGTGAGAGAGGCAGTAATGTGAGAGAGGCAGTAATGTGAGAGAGGCAGTAATGTGAGAGAGGCAGTAATGTGAGAGAGGCAGTAATGTGAGAGAGGCAGTAATGTGAGAGAGGCAGTAATGTGAGAGAGGCAGTAATGTGAGAGAGGCAGTAATGTGAGAGAGGCAGTAATGTGAGAGAGGCAGTAATGTGAGAGAGGCAGTAATGTGAGAGAGGCAGTAATGTGAGAGAGGCAGTAATGTGAGAGAGGCAGTAATGTGAGAGAGGCAGTAATGTGAGAGAGGCAGTAATGTGAGAGAGGCAGTAATGTGAGAGAGGCAGTAATGTGAGAGAGGCAGGGCAGTAATGTGAGAGAGGCAGTAATGTGAGAGAGGCAGTAATGTGAGACAGGCAGTAATGTGAGAGAGGCAGTAATGTGAGGCAAGTTTGGAATGCCAACTCACCGCATCCCTCTCATGCACCAGTGGCCCGATGAGCGTAGGAAACTGCCGTGCAACTTCCTGAAAAACAGCCGACAAAAACTCGACCTCTTCCTCTCCCTCCGCGTCGTCCTTCTCTACCACTCCCCCACTCCCCACAACATCTCTATCCATATTTAAACCCTCCATCCCTTGACCATTAGTAGAGTCACGCTGTCTTGAGAACGCTCCTTTCAACTCGCTCTGCTCCAGAGAGCCCCCCTTCAGCCCGCCTTGCAGGAGAGCAGAGGCGAGGCGAGCGCGGTCGAGAAGAGAAAGGGCCTTCCATGCACGGCGCAGCTGGGGGGAGGGGAGGGGAGGGGAGTATAGGGGTGAGGAGAGGGGAGGGGGGAAGGGGAAGAGGGCATATTGATTTGCCAAGCCAAACCACATGCAGACGAAACGAGGCAAGTGCGGTCGAGAAGAGAAAGGGCCTTCCATGCCCGGCGCAGCTGGGGGGAGGAGAGGGGAGGGGGGAAGAGGAAGAGGGCATATTGATTTGCCAAGCCAAACCACATACAGGCGAAACGAGGCAAGCGCGGCCGCGCAGAGAGAGGGCCTTCCATGCACGACGGAGCTGGTGAGAGGGGCAGAGGGGAGACGAGAGGCGAGCATGTGGAGGAACCCAAGGTCATGCCCCTTACGCCATTCTCGAACAAGTTTAAGAGAGAAAGAATTTCTTCCCTTTTTTTGACAGTGCCATAGAACCTTACCCCGTCGTACAGCGTAACCGTTACCAGCAAGTCGTGGTGTACAAATCGTAGTGATCTAGTTTTGAGGCGCCTCAAAACCAGTGCCATAGGACGTCACCCCGTCGTCCTACAACGTAACCGTTACAACTTACGCGCAAGTCGTGGGGTACAAATCGTAGTAATGGACTTATTGTGATGACCAGAAGGAATGGAAAGACCACTCACAGTGATTTCGATTGGTCGATCTCCCAGCACCATCTGTGCCCCAATCGCATCTGCAGCCTCCCTTGCTGCACGGAACTAGACGGGAGAGGGTCAATGGAAGCGGAGAGCCGAACGGGAGGGCTGATGGTTTGATTGGAAAAGAACGGTAAAAAGGAAGCTGTGGTGACATGAATCAATCCCATTCGACTTTTTAGAATTCTCCAAGACCACCTTGGAAAAAACAAACAAGAAAAGAGCTGTGCTGACATGAATCAATTGCGTTTGAATCCTTTCTTGCTGCCCCCTTCTGATATCACCTCACGCCTTCCCCCTCTCTTTAAGTCACCTCATGCCCCGGTTGCACGCCGACTGCTTGGGCGGACCGGCGAGACACAAAAGAGAGGAGCAGGCGCAGCAGCAGGCTGGACTGACCTCCTGGAATGTGGGTTGGGGATGTGGGGAGAGAGAGGAGGTTAGCGATTGGAGGTTAGCGATTGGAGGTTAGCGATTGGAGGTTAGCGATTGGAGGTTAGCGATTGGGAATGAGAGAGAGGAGGCTAATGATTGGGAATGAGAGAGAGGAGGCTAATGATTGGGAAGAATCTAATTGGGGGATTAGGAGAGAGAAAAGAGAGAAGGAGACGCAGCAGAAGACTGGACTGCCCTCCTGGTATGTGGGTTGGGGGTTGGGGAAAAAACGGGAAAGGAGAAGTGATGGAGATGAGAAGGCTTATGGTTGAAAACGGAATGCATGGAAGAAAATGGTAAAGGGTAAGAGTGGGGCTCCCAGGATGAATGATGAGGTCAAGGTGATGGAGGAACGGAGGAATCGCTTTCGAAATTTTTCATAAGTAAATTCAGCAGAGGTAATGGAGGAGAGATACTTTTGAGGCACCTCAAAACTAGAATTCTCACAAGTGATTCCAACCAACAGAGGTGATGGAGGAGAGATGGAAACGGAATGCATCAGGCTGAAAAGACAACCACAGAAGGCAGCAGTGCAAATCAAGCTGGATGCTGTGTTGCGCATGAGCGTCTGAGGCAGGGTGGCCCCTCCCATAAGAGAGAAATTAGGGGAACACGATGCGTGGAGGGACAAGGAAGGAAGGAAGGAAGGAAGCAGTACCAACCGAGCTGGATGCTGCGCATGAGCGTCTGAGGTAGGCTGGCTCCTCCCATGAGGAATAGATCGCGAGCAGGAGCAGCAGCAGCACCCGTGGCATCAGAGCTTGGCACTGAGAGCTGGTTGGGGTCCGGTACAGGGTCGTACATTATGGGTGCTCTGCAACACATAGGAAGGGAAAGTGAAAAAAGAGAATAAGAACAAGCAATTTTTCTCCAGAAATTAACAAAAAAAAGGATTTATCAAGACCTGTTACAAATGGTATATAATTATACATTATGGTTGCATATCCTTGCTTTTCCTTAGCAAACACATTCTGCCGCTGAACACCCTGCGCCAACGCCAACCTCCTGACATCCTCGTTTTGAAGCGCCTCACCATATGCTGGAAGTAGCACTACAGTGAACCTGCTTTTGCACAGCTCCACCACCACGTTCTGAGGCTGCACGCTCCGCACCACGCGCACGGCGTCCTCGCTTCAAAGTGCCTCAAAACAAGCTCGAGATTATAATACAGTATACCTGCTAGTGCGCGTACCTGCTTTTACACAGCTCCACCACCACGTTCTGAGGCTGCACGCTCCGCACCACCCGCATGGCGTCCTCACCAGCCGTTTCCGACACGTGCGTCGTGCCGAGAATAAAGATCTCGCGAGGTAACCGCCGGCTGCTGCTAGTATCAGTACCGGCGCCTGCTTCGTCGTCCTCTACTGGTTGCTGCACCACTACGAGCACGCCACGTCGGACCAGATCCATCAAATCCGGGTATCGCTCGGCGACAATGCTGTATGTCGTTTCCGCTGTGGCTTTCCGGTAGTCGAAACCCAGCACGGGTGGCTCTGGCCATGCTGACGTGTCTTTCTGTGCTGACGTGGCGGCTTGTGGAGAAGTGGTGCCTTTTAACCTGGATAACGAGGACGCACGCACCCGAATGGCTGAAGAATCTGAAACTTTTGAACCAGTAGGAGATCTTGAAATGGTTCGGCATGGGTATAGTGACTTGGGATTCCTGACGTCTGCATTCCCGAAGAGATGTGAAGGTTTCGCTAATCTGGTCGAATTCAGGTTGTGTGCGCTGTCTCGCGTACGGTTCGCTTGTTTCGCGAGTCCAGTGAATTTCAGACTGCGATCGGCAGTCGCGATAGGGGGAAGCTGAAGCGCAGCCATGGCTAGTGCGCTGCCGCTTTGACCTGTGAAGACTAGTTTGTGAAGTGAAGCATCTCTTCTTGTCGCCTGCGAACAACTCGTCGGTTTCGCAAACCCTGTTGCCTTCGCTAGCGAAGCCGGAGCGCCAGTGGTCTGATGTTTTAGGACGCGTCCTATCCGCACCGAACGTCAGTTCGAGCCTAGGCTCGGTGATATCGGTGCCCAGGACTGCGCAACTACGGCGCACCGATATACAGGTGACAGGCTCGGTAAGGCAGGTTTCGGGGTTGAGGTACACCCAACCTGCGACAACAGCTAGGTTGTCGCGAGTATAGGTCGCACATGGAAATCCACTGTATGCGACGTCGTGCAGTAACAATGCGACGACGAGCGAAGGAGATCGATTTTGACTGTCACTCGTGGCGCGAAATTCCACACCGCGCCAAGCAATCTCACGATCGATATGTGCACTTCGCTACATCGATTGGGGCTCCCGTAAGTGACAGGGTCGGGGAACTTTGTTTACTGTACATTCGTAAACATCGGCGAGATTAGTTACCTTGTTGATTACGACGCTACAATTCTACACCCCACGCGCAAAACCGATCTTCCAGCCGATTGATCCGCTTCAGGGGACGCGTCCTTAGCCAGAACAATCCACTACACCCTGTTTCTCATTACACTGAACTGTGCCCAAATGGTGGAAAACCTTGTTATCTTTGATTTATCTGAATGAACCATACCGAGACTTAATCTAACCACAGTTAACCGTGCTTTTCCCATCTTGACTTCACTATAACCGAATTCACAATGGCGAGAAAGAGGGTGTAGTTTTTTTATCCCGTCACCACAAGCATCGGATTATGTACCACTAGTATGCTGTAACTAGTATGTACCGGATACAAGCTCGCTCCTTTGTTATAATGTGTGGAGTGACGAAACGAGTTGTGTATAACATATGATTTATTGTCAGCACGACAAGTCCACGATACTTTATGTGGACAACCAGCGACCTGGGGCGGTGAGGAAAAAACTATGGTGACTAGACGGTGGCTGCCGGTGGACCTGACCTGGAATCAGCTTTGAATCACCAAACGGAAACATGAGGCTGGTACGGTGTTGCGTTATCGTACGCTGTAATGATGCCGGGTGGTAACTAAGCAATGTCATTTCTGTTGATCGCAGAACGTCGTCAGGCGGAAATTACTCAACTGTAGCCGCCGTGCGAAAGACGGTGACATTCGCTGATCGAGTCGCGTCGGAAGCACGTCCGCCGCTCTTGATCACAAGAAAGTCAGAGCCAAACAGCAAGCCGCCACTCCACGATGTTTGTGACGAAAACAAAAAACGATTGACCGCGACTTCAGAAACCTGGCGGCCCAAACCTGCGAACATTTTCCTCCTCAGAACCCTCGATTTCTCCTCCAGGTTCCGTCGCGAGGCATCTCATCGTGAGCTCACGCGAAAATCTTGCTAGTTGCAAGAATACCGTCCAAGTTTCCTTCTTTTCTCTCGCCTTCCCGACTCAGGCTCCGTGGCGTGCCGCGCGATGCGGTTCCTGTAAAGGGGACAATAGACCCACGACGCTAGCATATCGCCTCTGAAACGCCTGTAAATGATTAGGTCTACTACACTGACCCTCTCTACACAATCATTGTTACTGTCAATTTCACTTCGACTAGGACGGGTCAGACACTCTCTTGCCCGGTCCGCAGTCAGTACCTTTTTCGACAGTATCTCTTTCGAGTATCTCTTTTCCAGAGTTGTATTTGCCACGTCGATCCCGTTGGCTTACCGCCCAGTGTCACAAATTTCGAGGCGGCCGTGCAAATAAACTTCGTAACCTGGTAACCCTCGCTCGCTTACTCTCTTGGTAGAACATCCTAGTAATCGGGTACAGAATGACGGTCGACGATGGCGCTAGATGGTCGGCGGTAACCAGCAGCAGAGGGTGCGAACTCAGACAAGTTCGCGACAGCACCAGCGACTGCAGCAGACTCGTTAATTCAGGAGGCGACTCGCAACCGTGCTGTTCCTATGCGCGCGACACGACGGCGGCGAGAGGCGACTTCGTCCAACGAGGTCCTAGGCTATCCGAGTCGCAACTCACGACTAGCGCACTCTCTCTACCCTTCTCGATTTCGGACTCCGAGATGAGCTCAGGCTTGGAGTCAGGCTTGGGGTCAGGCTTGGGGTCAGGCTCGGAAATAGGCTCGGCCTCGGGCATGTCAGGCTCGGCGGTTCAGCAGGGTGCTGCAGGCGCCGTGCGGCGGCCCTGCTCCGGGTCGGTTCGCCGGCCGTATTCCTCGCTGCTGCTGCTGCCCGTCCTGTTGTTGCTGCTGGCCGCGTCGCCCACTCCGCCCGTGCTAGCCGTTGACATGAACAGCGCCCAGGGTAAGTCTCAGGTTGCGATAAGCTCAGGCTCAACATTTACCGTGACTGGGCTTTGAGTCGACGGGAAAACGTCGGGTTCGCCCGTGTTAGCCGTTGATATGAACAGCGCCCAGGGTAAGTCTTAGGTTCGCGATGACCTCTGGCTCAGCACAAGCTTGTTGTGATTGGGTTTGAGTCGACTGAAAATGGTCAGCTCCGCCCCTGTTAGCCGTTGACATGAACAGCGCCCAGGGTAAGACTCCGGTTGCGATGATCTCTGGCTCAGCAGAAGCTTTATTGAGATTGGGTTTGAGTCGACTGAAAATCGTCAGCTCCGCCCGTGCTAGACGTGTCAGTAACGGACAGGTGGGCTGCGGAGGCCTTACTTCCATCAACTCGTATGGTTCTAGTCGACTGAAAATCGTCAGCTCCGCCCATCCCTCCTCCCAATGTTTCGGGTCGAGCACGCGAATACGATTCGCCTTTATTTGTCCCGCCTCCCGGTTTCCTCCCCCCGTGCCTTGTTTCTCCCCCCGCCCCGTTCCTCTTTTCCCCCAGTGGCGGCGCTGATAGGGATGCGCGTGGCCTTGGGAGTGACGGGGATGCAGTGGTGGCGCACCAGCGGGATTGGTTCACTTCTTCGCTCCCCCAACAACCCCTCTCCTCCCCCCATCTCTCCGCTCCCGATTTCCCTCAGTGGCGGCGCTGATAGAGATGCGCGTGGCACTGGGAGTGGCGGGCATGCAATGGTGGCGCACCAACGGACTTCCGCAAACTCTTATTCATCCCCTCCACCCGCCCCTCTCCCACGCCCCTTCCCGCCCCCCTTCCCCCACGCTTTCCGCCACTCCCAGCGTTGGCGCTGATAGAGATGCGCGTGGCCTTGGGAGTGACGGGCATGCAGTGGTGGCGCACCAACGGGAAAGTCGTGTGCGGCGCGTGGATAGGCGTCGAGTGCGACACCAGGGGGAACGTCGTCTCCGTGTAAGGGGCTTGAAAGGGGACAGCTTGTAGCGGGGATATTAGATGTGTGCAGACGGGCATGCAATGTTGGCGAACCAACGGGAAGGTGGTCTGCGGCGCGTGGATAGGCGTCGAATGCGACACCAGGGGGAACGGCGTCTCCGTCCGTGTAAGGGGGCTAGCTAGTAACGAGAATAGTCGGTTTCGCAGTGAATGCTTTGGGGTCTGGTTTGGTGGATTGCTTGCGGCGCTCGCTGCTGAAAATGTTGCTAATTTGTGCTATTTTTCCCCCATGTCGTGTCGTGTTGCGACTGTTCTGCAGCATGGCTTACAGCGTGATTACCGTATCGGGTCTCCTCTTGAGGCGCCTCAAAAGGCGCTCGCTGCTGAAAATGTTGCTAATTTGTGTTATTTTTCCCCCATGCCTTGCGTTGTGACTGCAGCACGGCTTACAACGTGATTTATATCAGGATCGACCGGGTTTCCAAGATTTATATCAGGATCGATGAAATGGTGTGCAATCATGTGTGCTATTTTTCACCCCCATGTCGTGTCGTGTCGTGTCGTGTCGTGTTGTGTTGTGTTGTGTTGTGACTGCAGCACGGCTTACAACGTGATCACCGTACCGGGCCTCCTCCCCAGCAGCTTCACCAAGCTCAAAACCCTCACCTACCTGTACGTGCTCTCTCCCTCGCCGCTCGGCCCTTACCTCTATTTGTACGTGCTGAAAAAACCCTTACCAACCTGTTCGTCCTCTGCTCGCCTCTGCTTCTCTCCCCTCCTCCTCCACTCCCTCTCCCCCTTCCCCTCTCCCCCTTCCCCCCTCCCCCTTAACCCTAAAGGACCTGCCCTCCAACCGCCTTAATGAGCCATTAGTCCAATTCGCGCGGCCCCTGCGGCACCTCCTATCTGTTTCCCTTTTCTCCTCCCCCTTCCTCCCCCTTCCTCCCCCTTCCTCCCACTTCCTCCCCCTTCCTCCCCCTTCCTCCCCCTTCCTCCCCCTTCCTCCCCCTTCGTCCCCCGTGTTTCTCTCTTCCCTCCTCCCCTTCCTTACTCCCCCGTCCCCCACAGCAATCTCTCCTCCAATCACCACAACGCGTCACTTGACCAATCCGTTCCCCCCCTTGCTGCACCTCCCATCTGACCGCCCCCTACCCCATTCCCCTCTCCCCCCTCTCTCTCACCCTCCTCCCCCGCAGCGATCTCTCCAATCGTCTCAACGCATCGCTCGACCAATTCGCGCGGCCCTTGCGGCACCTCCCATCTGTTTCCCTTTTCTCCTCCCCCTTCCTCCCCCTTCCTCCCACGTGTTTCCTGCTTCCCTCTCCCCCTCCCCCCACTCCTCTCCCAAACAGCGATCTCTCCTCCAACCGACTCAACGCGTCACTCGACCAATTCGCCCGCCCCTTGCTGCACCTCCCCAACCTCCGCGTTCTGTGAGTCTCCCCTCCCTCCCTTCCCTAGCCTTTTCCCTCTTCCCCCATTTCGCTCCCCGCCTCAACCCATTGACCAATTCGCGCGGCCTCTGCTGCACCTCCCAAACCTCCGCGTTCTGTGAGTCTCCCCTCTCCTGTCCTCTTCCCTCCTCCCTTTTAGTCTTCCCTCCTCCCTTTTAGTCTTCCCTCCTCCCTTTTAGTCTTCCCTCCTCCCTTTTAGTCTTCCCTCCTCCCTTTTAGTCTTCCCTCCTCCCTTTTAGTCTTCCCTCCTCCCTTTTAGTCTTCCCTCCTCCCTTTTAGTCTTCCCTCCTCCCTTTTAGTCTTCCCTCCTCCCCTATCCGCTTCCATCCTCTATCGTCCCTCCATCCTCGTTCATTCATGTCTCCTCACCCATCCCCTCCCCTCCCCCCCCCCCCCCCCCCCCTCCACCTCTCCTCTTCACCTCCCCTCCCTTCCTCCCCCCCTCCACCTCCCCCCTTCACCTCCCCTACCTCCTCGCCGCGCCAGGAGTCTGAACAACAAGCTCTGGGGTTCTGTCCCCTCCTACCTGCTTCTGCTGCTTTGACTCATAACCCTCCTCTCTTCCACATTCGTTCACGTCTCCTCCCGCTTCACCTCCCTCTCACTCCTTTCCCTGCGCCAGGAGTCTGAACAACAACAAGCTCTGGGGTTCCGTGCCCTCCTACCTGCTGCTCCTGCTGCTCCTGCTGCTGCTGCTGCTGCTGCTGCTGCTGCTGCTGCTGCTCCTGCTCCGACTCAAAACCTTCCTCTCTCCTCATTCGTTCATGTCTCCTCCCCCCTCCCCACTCCCTTTACCTTCACCTCCCCCTGCTCTGCCAGGACTCTGAACAACAACAAGCTCTGGGGTTCCGTGCCCTCCTACCTGCTGCAGAAACCGAAGCTTCAGAAACTGTAAGGCTGCGCTCCCCTCCCTACCCCCCTGTGACCCCCCTTCCTTCCTTGCCTTGACTTGCTCCCGTCACAACTCACCTCTGGGGTTCTATCCCGTCCTACCTGCTGCTTCGGCCAAAGCCCAGAAACTGTAAGAGCCTCAGAAGCTTCAGAAGCACTTGAGCTCGCCATCGACACACCCATCCACCCCACCCAACCCCCTCCCCTCTGTTCCCCTTCCCCTCCCCTTCCCTCCCCACTTCTCCCTTCCCCTGCACCACCCCTCCCCACTTCAACCCCCACTCCTCCCCTTCCTCACCAGAGCCCTCCCCTTCCTCCCAACCAACAAGTCCACAGCCTTCTTGTGTGACCGACCGCTCCTCCTCACATTCCTCCCCTTCCCTCCTTTCCCCTCCCCTCCCATCCCTTCTCTTGCCCTAACCTGCCTCCTCACATTCCTCCCCTTCCCTCCTTTCCCCTCCCCTCCCATCCCTTCTCTTGCCCTAACCTGCCTCCTCACATTCCTCCCCTTCCCTCCTTTCCCCTCCCCTCCCATCCATTCTCTTGCCCTAACCTACCTCCTCACATTCATCCCCTTCCTCACCAGAGCCCTCCCACCCATGAAGTCCACAGCCTTCTTGAGTGACCCGCTGTGACTTCCTCACCGGATCCCTCCCACCCAAGAAGGCCAAGGCCCTCTCTACCCTCTCTATCTCCCACAGCTTCTTACTCATGTTTATTCCTTCCCCTCCCATTCGCTCCCCCTCCCTCCACCCTCCCCCCTCGCCCCAACCAGCCTCCTATCGCGCAACTTCCTCACCGGAACTCTCCCCCCCAAGAAATCCAAGACCCTTGGTACCCTCTCAATCGCCCACAACTTTATCCGCGGCCGCTTCCCCTTCACCATGTCATGCAACACAGTGGGCAATTGCCTCGATAACCCTGGGGCGAGGTGTACTAGTTACCCTCAGCGCACGCCGTCCCGCTGTCTGGCCCAGTGTGGGGGAGCGGAGGTGGGAGCTACGGCTGGTACTGCTGCTACAGCTGCTACAGCCGCTGCCACCACCACTACTTCCCGTACTGCTGCTGCCACTGCCTCTGCTTCCAATACTGCTGCTGCTGCTGCTACTGCTGCCCTTCCTCCAAGGGACCCAGCCGCCCTGATAGCCACTGCTGCTACCAATGCTGCTGCCGCTGCTGCTTCCGCTGCTACTGCTGCCGCTCGTCCCATCCCTCGCACCGCTGCGTCCGTCTCTCCAACCGCTCTCAAAACCGCCAACACCACCACCGCCGCTGCCTCCTCCTCTTCCTTCTCAAATCCTTCGTCGGTCTACTCGGCAGCGCCCTTCCTGACGCCCTGTGGGGGCTATGGGCGGTGCCTGCCCAGTGTGGACGACTCCCCTGGGGATGTTTCAGCCTCTTTACTGCCCGCCACCCAGTGGACGTGCATGTGCGCTGCTGGAGCCACTCTCAAAGACAATGACGTGTGCGGTGAGTGGGGTATCTGTTGTGGGAGTGGGTGGGGTGGGGAGTGTTGCTTGTGTGCCAGCCCAGTGTGCTTCTCGGCCTCTTTGTTATCTGCTACGCAGTGGACCTGCATGTGCGCTGCTGGGCCACACTTGAAAGATACTGACGTGTGCGGTGAGTGGGACGTGTGAATGGGTGGGGTGCGGTGAGAGAGATGTGGGTGGGATTGCATCAGAGTCTTGTTGCTCTGACGGTGACGTCTCTGCCTCGCTCCTCCCCACCACCGCTGCCCCTCCCTGTCTTCCTGCAAGCCTCACCTGTCGTGCCTACTGTTGTTCCCAGCGACCTATCTCTTTTCCCTCCCACCCCCCTCCCTCTCTCCCCTCCGCACCTCTGCTCTCCAGAGTGTGAGAAGAAATCAAGTTGCGTCGACCACCGCTGACCCGCCATGTCCTCCTGCAAAAACCCCACCTGTCATGCCCTATCTTCTCAATCTATCTCCCACCCACCCCATTCTTTCCAGAGTGTGAGAAGAAATCAAGCTGCGCCGACCACCGCTGCCCCGCCATGTCCTCGTGCAAACCACACCTGTTGTGCCTTCCCTTCATCTCACTCCATCCGCGTCCTCCCTGGGCTACCCTTCCCCTCCCTTCTTCCCTTCTCCTGCAGAGTGTGAGAAGAAATCAAGCTGTGTCGACCACCGCTGCCCCACCATGTCTTCCTGCAAGCCCCACTTGTCCTGCCTGGGCTACAAGTGCGAGTGCCACTGGCCTCTTGTCCCCGTTACAAGCTCAAGCGGTACAGTAGTTAAGTGCCGCCCCAAATGGCCCTGGGAGAAAACCAGATAAACATTTTTTTTTATAGCTAAGAGTTGAAAAATTATACGTTACCGTATTTTGGGTAGGTAGTCGATTTGTTGCCCCTTTAATAAACTGTGGGTGCACTTGATTGTAGAATGTAGTTTATGTGCTTTGGTGGTTTCTTATGGTGAATTGTAAGATTTTTTACCGTATCCATTTTACTGGGTACACCTTGAAGTGCTGCATCAAGCACTGCATCCAACCACTCATAGCAGGGAAGCACCATGTAACATTGCTGTTAGCATGGTATGATAATAGATGAATACTGGAACTTCAAAAATTGTGAGTGACGTCAGCATGCCGTAGGTAGCAGCAGACCCGACAATATCGAGTAAAGCTGCTGCCCGTAGCGTCATTCCTTATAAGAACGCTACTAACGGACAAAAGGGGGCAATTTTGTGGGGATGACATCAAGTTTCATAAGTTTTATTGCGCAAGTAATCCCAGCCCAATACTCCAAATGCTGATTTAATTGCATCTGTTGGAAAACCGAATACAGTATAACGAATATTGTACACCCGTGCTGTTTGGTTTTAGGGTACATTCCGCTGTGGACACATGTCCCAATCGATGTGTCCCAATCGAGTGTACCGCTCCGAACCGAACTAAACCAGAGACGCGAAAATTTCGAAACTAGGGTGCAATTTGGTGTAATACGATGCAGTGCGGTAGAAACGATTGGGACACATCGATTGGGACATGTCTCCACAGCGGAATGTACCCTTAGTGTAGGCTCCATCATAAGGGGGGGGGAGATTTACTGTTCCCTTTGAACAGTACTTTCCAACTCACCCTTATCCTTATCCTCCTTGATTTCCTTGTGCCACCTGACACTCTACTTTTCTTGCTTCTACTTTTTGGTCTCTCACAAAGCACTTTCCATTATTAGATCCTGCATGCTATATCAACCTTGCTTGTGTTGCCCAATATCAATCAATTCTCAATCCGTTTCCAATGCAAACATGTTTCCGCTACGCTGGCACTATGCCTTTCTAGCATGGTATCAGAGCTACTCTAGGGGGCATGCTGCCAAATTTGGTCTATAAAGTTGTTGGCATTCCCTTCGGATAGGTACCTGCAAACGCTCAGAGTACCGGACACCTAGTACCGTATTCTCCCGGATAAAACACCCTAGGGTAATATGAAAACCACTGGGTAAAAATGGGGGGGGTCTCCACAAAGGAAAATCTTACATAATACCCGGGTCTTATTATATGGTATATTTTTTATCAAGTAGAAAAGATGTGAAACAAAATCAGGTGTCTGACTTCATTTCAAGATTGTTGACCAGTGCCGCAAAACCGAGTATACGAGGATAACGTGACCGCCCATTGGAATCTGCCACGTGGCATATTCGAGTGGGCAATTTTGGCACTTGATAGGGTGAAAACAAAGCCAATTGCGTGGCGAGGGTTCATGCAACCGCCGACTAGAATCGCGCACGGTGGTGCGTTCTTACTGTACCAGTCACTTCTTGACTGGTTTGGTCACGTGTAAGTGAGGTGGGTTGGGTGGGGTATGAAAATGATGTGGCACGATCTAGGCTATTCAATTTCTGGTCTGTAATCAGCAGAGAGATCCGCATTGGCGCGCTGAAGCCTTGCTCCAGCATTCCACGAATGTGGGAGTGGGATGGGGACCTTGGGATACCATTTGCTCAAAAGTTTACCCTAAACCGTTCTGTACCGTAACGAAACCCCTGATTCCCGATTTCGTGTCGGTGCGTTGCCAGTACATGGGGCTGTGAAACAAGTGAACAGGAATGTGTGAACTATGAATGAAGGCAGTACAAATATGAAACCCTAACTGGGTTGTACCCCCTATGGGATACCCCACTACAGCCTACACAATAGTATAAGCTATGGATATGTTCTGACACACCCCCATAGGCAAAGTGGGGGAGAACAAGGGGTCACAAGACCAGTCAAGCAAAGCAAAGCAAAGCAAGCTCGGGGTGGATCA